AGTTATAATTAAAAGTCACAAACGAAAAGTATTGGAGTATTTTGTCATATTTAAATCAGATATTTGCATGGAGTGTGCTATGTGTTTAACCTAAAGTACCTCCTGTTATCACAGGTTAAAGCACAAGCAAACAGGTTTTGACGTAGCAGGGAGGTCTCTGTCTTTTGAACTTTGGCTGAGATCTTGACCCTTAGTCAAGATAAACCTGAAAGCAGAGCTACCGTTTTATTAATATTTATCTGCTTTGATCCTTTTATGAATTAAATCCTGTCCATGTTTCAGTGTTTTTCTCCTTTTCTGACGCCCAACAGTTGACTGCGTGAAGCAGACGGTGAACGGCCATGGGGTGAAGGGGCTCTACAGAGGCCTGAGCTCGCTGCTCTACGGCTCCATACCCAAAGCAGCAGTCCGGTACGGCGGCCTCACCACTAAACACACACCAGCTTTTATCTAATGTGGAGGAAAATTTAAAAAAATGGTTCTAGGGATATTTTATTTATCTTCCTATTTTCATTTACAGTGATTTTTACATAAATCATCTTTTTATTTTGTCGTTTTCTCCCAGTCACTAATTTTCACAGCTCACACACAATAAATACTGATTTGTTATAAAGCCTAAAGCTTAATATTGATCCATGATATAGTGAACTATATATTTTTTAAGTTCTGGCAGATTTTCAGAATGGCAAGTTGTTTAATTGCAAAAAAAAAGGAAAAAACGAAACAAATAAAACATCTTAACTGAGATTATTGCTTAACAACATCTGAAGAAAAACTGTTTTAAAATGACGTAGAAATCACTGAGTTTTTCTCTGTGATTTTCTTTGTCTGCTTGATCTTTGCAGGTTTGGGATGTTTGAGTTCCTCAGTAATAAAATGCGAGATGAAAGCGGTAAACTCGACAGCAGGCGAGGGTTCCTCTGCGGTCTGGGAGCCGGAGTGGCGGAGGCGGTGTTTGTAGTCTGTCCGATGGAGACCGTTAAGGTGAGGAAAGATAATATTTCTAAATGAATATGTGTATGCTATATGGGAATGTTTAAATTGTAAATCTTAGGAGAAAAATAATCCAACTGGAGGAGTAAACCTTTAGATTAATTTCACATACTTAGAAGAAAATGCTTATATTTATCTGTCCGGTCAGCAATGAATAACCAATGGGTCACTATTTATAACTAAAACTAATACTTTTAAAGTGATTTGATGAATTTAGCGTTAATCAGTAAAAAAATAAAAACAATACTTTTCTTTGTGATCACTGAGTCTGGGAGCGGCCATTTTTGCCCAAATATAGTAACCCCTCCCTGACATTTTCCAGCAGTGATGTCACGGTGCGGTAAGCCTGGCGCCATTCTCCTCACTTTACAAGCAAAATCAATGGGAACTACTAGACACATCTGCAATCAACAACAATTATTGAAGATTTCCAGAGGACTTCACCATTGAAATTCACCAGAGCTATAGTGAAACTGACAATGCCCATGTGCATGGCAGCTGGATGTTGGAATACATCAAGTAAAAGTGGAAAAAAATGAGTTATTTCACCTTTCCAATTCCTGATCCTCCACGGACGGGTTCATCGTCGGATTACTAACTTGAAGAGGGAGGATTTGCCATCGAACTTCTGGCCAGAGGAAAAACACGTAATATGTAGCCAACATTTGGAAGAAGAATATTTTCAAGATGACTTGGATAATAGCGCGTTGTGACAAACACCTGATACAGCACTGGGACTTGATCAACAGCTGATACCGCACTGTGACGTCAAACCAAACCAGTAGGTGGCAGTAGTGTTCTTTGACAAACATGGACGCCTCCAGTAAAGCACATTCAAATGAAAATTACTCTTAATTAAAAACAACAGTATGTAATAATTTAATCTTTAAAGTACTTTCAGAAGTTGGAATTCTGAATATGATCGGACTTTTCCTCTAGATTTGAATAAAAAAAAAAGCTGTCCATTTTTCTATCATTAAAGGCATACATTTATATTATTAAAACACTGACATTGTGGCTTGTTTTGCTTGTTCTGGGGATCCCATATGAGATGTTCATGATGAATCTGCTGCAGGACAAGTCCTTCCTAAAAACATCTTAAAAATGTATCCAATAAACCTTAAGGTGGATTCAGATTGAGTGCTTTGTCCACTGTGATTTCCACACTTATGGCCTCAAAATTCTGCCAAAAGTTCACACACACACTAAATAGTGATGGTTATAAAGCCTTAAGAGTGGGTTATCCTCCCGCAGCAGTGTGTCGCAGTGAGCTTATGGCAGACACTTTTGATTTACACTCAATATTGAAGCGTGGTCTGCGCTATGTTATTCCACGCCACAACGCAAGAGGGACCAGGAACTAGCTGTGGGTCTAGATACGGCTGAGGCGGTGAGGAAGTGGGGGCAAGTTTGTATGACAAAGGAGGGACATGAGGGCGAAAAACAGCGGGGATCCAGGTGGAAAAAGGGTCTCAGCGTTCTCGCTCACCTCGATCTCCTAGCTGGTCCAACTTCACGACTCGTTTTTTCATAATGACGGTCATTTAAACGAGACAAGCCTGTAAGGTACCAAACAGGAAATACGCATAGAGTAGAGAGTATGTAGATTTGTCCAATCAGAGGCCCCCTGTCTGCGGTCACCTACAATTTTGGAGAGGTGCAGCAGAGTGTCTACAGGAGGGGCGGGGCATATCTGCGTTCACTGTGACACTGTGACCATAAACCAGCCTTACAGCTGCTGTGAAGAAGGATCTGTGATAACGCTCCCTGGTGCATTTAGGGTGCAGCAGCCTGTTTCTGAAGGAGCTCTCAGTTCAGCATCAGCTTCATGCATTGGGTGGTAGTCAGTATCCAACAGAGATGTTATTTTAGTTAGGATCCTTTGTTTCCCACCTCCTGCACTGAGTCCAGAGGGCATCCAACCACACATCTGGCCTTCCTCAGCTACAGATAAGCCACTTCTACATCAGACAGGTCCATAGAAGATGGCTGATGCCACACTCTTTTTAGTGCCCCCTGCACTCCAAAAGACCTCAGGCTCCTCAGCAGGAAGAGTCTGCTCTGACCCTTCTTGTAGAGAGCCTCAGCGTTGTGAGTCCAGTCCAGTTTGTTGTTGAGGTGAACACCCAGGTACTTATAACTTGTATATGGTGACTGCTGAACCCGAAGTAGGTGATCACATTTTCTGCTGCTGCTGCACCTCCCTGCTCTGTCCCTGCTTTGCTGTGTCCTTCTCATCATATCACTCGAATTCAAACAATGGATCTGTTCAGCTGGTCTCTCAATGAAATTGATCAAAATTTCTCAACTGAAAGACAAGGAAAATGGGACTGTCCTGCTGGGGCATAATTTGTGGGATGCACCATGGACGCATGGAAGACTTGGAGGAGGACTTGGAAGACGTATGGGTTTTCGGATTTATGATACTGAGATTTTGGATTTGGAGTAAACCTAATGTATCTACAATTACAGAGGATGTCAATGGCAATTTGGGTGTTGATCAAGCTGCTGGCAGCAGTTAAAAAGCTCAAAACGCAAGCTGGCTGTGGTGGTTAAACTCAAAGGTGAAATGGGATAATATCTCGGATGTACACGCTCACTTTAAGGCGAAAAAGCCCAACAAATTCGGAATATTGGATTCGCCATGTGGAGCCCAGCGACAAAAGACTTCAAGGCTGACAGAAGATTCTGTGCATCTTGCTCTCAAAACAAAAAAGTGTATTTTGTGTTTCGGCCTCCTAGTTATCAACACTGCCCAGGATGTTATGGCGGAAGGGCCCAGAACTGCTATCCCCAGAATAGTATGGATCCCCAAGATACTCCTCCACCACCACCACTAGCGGACATGTGCTAATGAGTTCAGAACTATAGCGCCAGTTGATAAACTTCCGTCTTATCAAGGACAATGGCCTCTGGAGAGCGTTCATGGACAGATTGAACGCACTCACCCATACACACACATTGATGCTCAAATACCAGATTGACTCACAGGTTACTCCGGCCTCAAAGGTTTCCTTTCTGCTGAAATGTTTGTATCGTGAGGTGTTTTTTTGGTATCTCAAACTGTACCCTGTCTAGGATAAAGTGTTAAATATCCTTTTTTTCCCCCTCACTCTCCATCCCCAATGTGGCTCCTCTCTTGCCACAGAGATAAAGGCAGCCCTGTAAGGGAACCGCCTCATTTCAGGGCCCCTGGCAGCTGAAAGAATGCGGCAAACAGCAGCGTTCTGTGGCATGCAGGGCCTCAGTCAATCATTCCCCTGTCCACCCCCTCCAGTGTATGTGATGTATTTGATGAACGGTTTGTAATGAAACTGAAATCT